GAGACCTCAAAAAGTGGACTCGTTCTTCTGTGAATGTCCACAGAATAAGAAAAATCTCTGCTACAGTACGCTCGCACAGACACACACAATGTCTGCAGTGATTTACAGCAGCAAGATCCCACAACAAAACAGCTCCAGTAACAAATTGCAGCATAAAAAGGAGAAGCTGGCGTAAAGCTGGGTTGCAAAGCGGTTTGCATATGTGACGGCACCTGTGGACACCACCTCTACGGGACTTTCTAGTTGACCATCGGCTGGCATCCGTATGAGCTGAAACAATGCTGTCTGATCCCAAACTTAATGAAAACTTATTGCTTCCCTATTATTTTTTTTTGCTGGGAGTTTGCAACCCTATTAGTTAGGTTGCTTAATATTTCTGCTAAGTACTCTTTAAAATACCAGAATATGGAGGATGGAGTAGGTTTAAGTTTATTAGATTGATCAGTTTTGCTGAACTATGAAATATTTTGGGTGCAGTGTATTTGTTGCATACAGGTATAACAGGATAGCTTTAGTGTTTGTTTGTTTTTTGCTTGAACTTGAGTATGAACTTATACAAAATGCAGCAAGATATTAAAAAAACAGTTTTATTGATTAAAAAACACTATATCAGATTCATATCGGTATCGGCCGATATCCAAATTTATGATATCGGTATCAAACATAAAAAAGTGGTATTGTGCCATCTCTAGTAATTAATAATGCCAACAGAGTCGTATCAAGTGCATCAGTGAGCCGCTCAAGCAAGTCTGCATGGAAAATATCAAAGCATTAGAAGTGGGGCACTTAAATGGGACGCAGCAATTACTAAGGAGGTGCCACCAACGGCTACACCTCCTTAGGAAACTCAACTCCTTTGGAGTCAGCACACCCATCATGATGACTTTTTACTATGCCTTCCTGGAAAGCATCATGACCTTCTCCATCACCTGCTGGTTCCACTCCCTCAGCCTTCAGAACAAGAACAGACTGCAGCACACTGCATCAGTGTGCTCTAAAATCATTGGGCTGGCTGTCAGAACTCTGGCACAGGTTTTCAGCCAACAGGCCCTTAGAGAGGCAGCTAAAATCATCAACGACCCCTCTCACATTCTTCACCCCGCATTTCAATGCCTCCCCTCTGGGCGATGCCTCTGCTGCATTTCCTGCAGGACTGAGAGGAGGAGCGCCACCTTTGTCCCCAAAGCCACTCTGCTTTTTAACACCAGCCGATAACACCATTTCCCACACCAGAAACATAAACTACACTCTTTTTATACTACCGACACTTTATTCACTTTTAGTCACTCACAGTTATTTATTCACCTTTCAGTCACTTTAATTTTAAAACTGTATATACTGTATATTCTGTGTATTTATTATCTCACTATTATTGCCTGTTCTTAGTGTCCTTATCTTCAACGTTATGCTGCTCTGTTGTATGTTAATTGCCCCTTGGGGATAAATAAAGTCTAAAAAAAAAGGTTTACCGTTTGAAAGTTGGGGGTGTTGGATAAAGTCAGATGGCATTAATCACTACAAAGTCGCTACTACACTGCTTCCTCACTGGCTTCATCTTGTGCTTTGGGTTTGCTAAAAACAACCGATAAAATCTGTGAGCAATGTGAAAGAAGTAGCTAGTAGGCAGAAAAGCCCAGATGACTCTCCCAGTGCATTCTGATGTCTTTCAGCTCACTGTTTTGGATCACTCCCTGTTAGCAGTAGCAGGAGGAAGGTGGCTGTTTTCAGCGAAAAGAGAGTCTGAGACAAATTCATTCTATCAATCTGTTCAGCAATCAACAGCAGGCGAGGCAACTACAGGAAGTGACGACCACAAGAAGGATTTAAAAAAACAAAACATAACCAGAAGGAGTCTGGACAATGAAGATCATTTTAATTGAATCTGGTTAAACTGGCTGCTGGTTGGTCAAAGCAAACTGATCAAGGCGTTCTGTGTAAGCTGAAGTTACAGTTACAGTTTTAGGAATGTTTCCCATGCTTCGAACTCTTGTCAGACAACACTGTAATTTTTCTGACAAGAGCACAAAAGCCGGGCAGAGACAAACACGTGTGTCTAGACATTATCTCTCCTCTAGCTTAAATCCCTGCCAACCATATGCATCTTTCATCCAAACAACAAAAGGTGTGCAGCAGGCACCTGCTTGAATGTCAGCCCACAAAAACCAGACGTCTCCTGCAGGGAAAACAGGAGAGAAATCCGCTTAATAATCTACATTTCCAGAGTGGGAATTGCTGGAGGGCACAAACAGCCCTGAGCCTACCAGGAGGGAAAATAGAATTACTCTGAACGATACAAAGCTCTAAAAATATGAACGACTCCACTGTCTGCCCAACTTGTGTGTTGGAAAAAGAAACTGCTTGGTTCTTTCCACGTCACCCATTTCCCCTGTAGAAAACAGAGCTCACTGTGGTTTCTGAGGGACGGCATAAACTCCAACAGCAAACTCTTAAACACATGGACTAAGAAAAGGGCCTGTATTTAAATCCCCCCAATTATATTTAATTGAGGAAAAACACAGCCAATTCCAGCCGCACCGGCTGAGCCTGTGAGCTGAGCCTGTGAGCTGAGCTTGCATTGTGACGGGCCCGTTTTCACTGGGGACGGAGCAGTGGCAATGGAAACGTAAAGCTGGAGACTGAGGCAGGGATAGGGAGGAAACCGTGACAGAGGGAAAATGAATGAGAGTATAGATAATGAATGAAAGAGAGAAAAAAATTAGATCGAGCGAGGGAGGGAGGGTTGGATAATTACGGCTAGGAGGGAGGGGAATAACTTCCTCCGTTCTGCCCTCCTTGTCTTGTGGTGCAGGGTTATTTTTAGCTACGAAGGAGAGCAACAAGGTGCTGTAAAGGCAATCATTTCTGCTGCAGCACAGCCATCGCTCACTGCAACATCTCTGTCACGGCAGACAACACACACACACACAAATGCATGTGTGTGGTTTTTAAAGGCCAGACTAAAGCTGTCAATAGCCAAAATATAGCCAACATTCCCCCTTAAAGGGCCACAGTCTCAAACATATCGACAACACAACACCTAGCTACCTATCTACATCTGCCCAAATCAGATTTGTCAGCAATTTTCCACCCTTAATTTGCCACCTAAATAGCAACTCCTTTAATTGTTTTGGGCTAACGTGTATACTGCATTTCGCAAAGGTCAAGTTTCTCACTTGAAAGTGCTTCTCATTTTTCACACCGAAAACAAAAGCCCACTCTCAGATGCCAAACGTGTCAATACCAGCCGAAAGTGTGTCAGGTCAAGCCAATTGTGTTAGGGATTAGCTGAACGCACATACACAGAGTGTTTTCCCCACATCAATGACATTTACCGGGTCAAGGAGAAGAAATCCTATCCTAGCATCTGAATCAATAGCTCCTCTTAAAGGAATTAAAAACATACAGTATTTCATTACCCGATGCATCTAATAGCGTTTTCTGAAATTGATGTTTATATGCTTTTTGCTGTCCTATAGATCATCCCTCCACTTTCCATCTGTCTCCGCAGTACTACGTTGTGAGGTTAAAGTAATCAAATCTGAAATTTGATATCCGTGACCACTGGTGATCCTTTACTCATTAACATATGTTACATTTAATAAGTGGTGAGAAAACCCCCACACCTATCAGTGCACTCAAAACACGTCTTCTTGGGATCTAACTAGGACTAATTACAGCTTTAAACGCCTTGTCTAGATCTTCACTGCCATACAGGGACTTATGCAATTCAGTGCTAATTAGGCAAGTATGTTAGAAACAAACTTATTGCAAATGTTGAGATGATTTATAGATATGAATATGGTATGAAATATGAATAATGCTAAATAGTAACGTGTGTCAGCAGTTAAAGATCTGCTTCTTAGTATAGCATGACTCACAGCCCTGCAGTACCATGCAGAGAGAGACAAAGGGATTATGGCAGATTCCAAGAACAAAACAGTTATTTTACTTTAACAAAGAGATTGCTGCTCTACCACGTCTTTTTAAATTCGTTTTTTTTAATCAGGAAGTGAAGTCTGGAGTCTGGAAAATTGGAGGTCCGAAAGAAAACCCACGCAAGCACATAGAGAACATGCAAACTTCAAACAGGGCCAAACCAATCGCGCTGTTGCTGTGGAACGATTTTAACCACAGAGCCACTGTGCGCTTTGACCTGTTAGTTTGTTTTACTGTGTGAGTCTACAGTTAGTTTGGATCCAAGTTACGCTGAAACACCAAACACATTGCAACTTAAGGAAACACCAGGAAATAGAAAAATCTAGAAAAATCCAAAAGTACACAAAACGCAACAGAAGTTGGATAAAAGACTACGGAAGAAGTCAAAAAAAGAAAAGCAAACATCTTTTGTTTTTTGTGGGTTTTTCGTTTTTCTGTCATGTTTTATTCAACTTCTGTAATGTTTTGTCTGCGTTTGACCTCTCAGGGCCACCGTACCCAACTCACACAATAATACTAAATAAACTAACAACTGGCAGTGATAAGCCAGTAACTCCTTTGTCCATTAATGCAAAATTACTGTTGTTGTTCACAGAAATCTGGTAGCTTTACACAGAAAAATGTTAAATGTAGCAAACTACAAAAATACATATAAGCTATTATTGACTCATTAGGTGGCTAAAATGCTTAGCATCTCTCCCAGCACTCCTACTGCTCCTCCATACTGGGGGCATGCTGACAAGATGTATTATAGGTAATACACTGACTGTGGAGAAATAGTTCATATAAATCAAACAAATAAAAAATTCAAATTGACCTTTTAATACAAAAAAATTGGATGAAATACTAAATAAGATTAGAGGATTATTGGTTGTCTACAAAGCTAGGTTAACTGTTTCATACCTGCTTTCTTAAAGCCAAGAGAAACACCTGCCTGATGTGTCATCGTATCCATCACAAGATACTTGAATAGTATCAATCTCCTCTAACTTCAACCACAACAGGAAATGAGTGCAATCCTAAAATTACAAATTATTAATTTAAGTTGGAAATACGTATCTTACCTGTGATGAGTTCTCGTACTTCCATGTCGTTGGTCTTCCTCAGAAGGCGGATAAGGGCCGGGATGCCATCACAGTTCTTGATGGCCACCTTGTTGTCATTGTCCTTGCCATAGGAGATGTTGCGCAGGGCACCACAAGCCTTACGATGGACTTCAGACTTGGGGTGATCCAGAAGACCCACCAGAACTGGAATTCCCTTCAGCTGACGCACATCTTTCTTAATCTTGTCATTTTCGTAGCACAAGTGTTGCAGGTAGGCAGCGGCGTTGGACTTGACTGGGTCGATCGGGTGGCCTAGCATGGCAATGACCTCAGGGAGATCTGGGTCACGCCAGCGTGGGTCCTTGCGGATGCTGTCGATGGAAGGTGAGCGACGACCACCCATGCGGTCCAGACTGGCCATGCTACCCCTCTCTGGCTGAGCCAGTGGTGCTGAATACATCCCATGGATGTAAGGGTGGCGCTCATCGATCAGCTCAGCCTCAATGGGGTCATCTGGGTACCCTCTGGATGAAGAGAGAAGAGAGGACAGTTAGGACGAGGAAGATGGACGAGGTAAATGGGGGGTGACTCAGACAGATTTGTCCAAGAGAAGAATTAGGCAGCCGGGGGGAAACACTCTGAGAGAAGCTGACTGAGGTGAAAGCTGCTGACTAATGAGGGGAAAAGAGAAAGCAAAGGACAAGGCAAGTAAGAGGTGAAAAGAAGTGAGAGACAGAGGAGGACAAGGACACGGTACTGGACAGAAAGAGAAGGATCTGTGGTTCAGATCAGATTTTACCAGATTTGCCAGAAGCACTGTGATGCTAGTTCTTTGCAATAAAATACATATAGTATGCAGCATTCTTATTATTCCTCCGTGCCAGGTGGCAGCAACAAAAAAGTCAGACTTCAAGAAACATAAAGTCTTAGAAGGAGTGACTGAGAGACAGGAAAAGACTGGTGAAAGAAAAGACGGGCACTTCACAAAGAAACAGAGACAAGGCAATACCAAAGAAAATCCTTTGAAGGATAGCCTTGTGAAGTTTTTCCTTTTCTTTTTTTTTCTAGAAGCCACCACATACGGCAGAGAAAGGATTTGATGTCTTTTCCCCCAGGGAACAGCGAGAGCTCGGCTGTCCCCTCAGGGAGGACTATGAGCTCCTATGATACCTCCAGGGCTCCCTTTGCTCACAGTGCCAACTCTAGCATACAGTTGCTGAAATGTTAATGACCATCACTCTGGGACGCTTCTACCAGCATTACCCTTATTAGCGCTACTGACATTACAGCTAAGGACCTAAACAGTCTTCAGCTTTGCTAATTTTTCTGCAATGGAACTGAGTGGCAGAGAAAGAAGGGAGCTCATGGGGTCCGCTGAGGGGGGAGGTTCCTTTAATGATCCCCTATTTCCAAAGCCTCTCAGAGCCTGCTCTTTACAACTCTTTACTCCATAGACAGCCTCATCAAATTCCTGCTGGAACATGGATGAAAAAATAGGCGCTCAATTCCAGTGACAGATCATCGTTGCTAGAGTTCAGGTGACTTATTGTTTTTCTTTAATCATAGGAAAGGTTTTCTTTTTTTGTTGGGCTCAACTGCAGCAGCTCAGGTAAGCCAAATTTAACACTGGCAGAAAAGTTCAAAGGAACATTTTTGAAGCTTGTTTCACTGACATGTCTCCTTTGTCTATAAGGAGAATGTTTAGTAGGTAAAAATCTTAATATGGGAAGAGGAATATCATTACATGAGTGCACTTACGCACAGCCATTATCATACCTCGCCTACTCCACAGCTTGAAACTGCGTACCCTCATTACATAATACAGCTGCTCTCCGCTTGTGGTACTTGATATATGGTGGTTAGTGGTGTGACAAAATGGTGGTCAGTGGTAAGCTGACTGAGCTCTAGTTGTAATGTGTTTTTTATTAATTATGCTTCCCACGCATCGTCACTTTGTTTTTATGAACAAATTTGATGAATGTTTAGTGCTTACTTCAAATGAAAATCCTCTACTTCTTCACCTTCTCTATGTTGCGATGCAGTCTAGGTAGTAATGTCAAATGGTTGTAGTGATGTTGGCCCCGGTTTGAACACATTTTCTGTTCCCCTTGAAATTTAAGCCCAAGCCGTTTTCCAAAGAATCAGCCGCCGTAGTGAGTAGTTTACTACCTGGCAGGAGAAATCTCTGACATTTCAAAAAGCGATTTTCAATTGCTATCTGAGATCGCTTGTGAAAGAAAAATACAGACATGACATTTGCTCTTAGTCATTGCTTATAATGAGCTGACTAAATGTATCGGATGCAACAGGAGAAAAGTGACAACACAAAGCTGCGGGTCTTTTGGAAGTTCCCCACAAGCATCTCTCCCGTTCACGTCTCCTCTTATTAAGACGAAAGCTGTGAAGGTGTACGTCAGTTTTTTTGTTTCCTTTCCACTCTATGTTACAACCAGATTTTGGATGGTTTGCATAGTGTGGGTTGTTTGAAACAGCACCTTTTGTAATGATAGCTGTGGAGTGCAACAAATTTAATCAGGTTTTCACAGATCTCAAGTGCATGAAGTGTGCAAAGGTACTGGAGACCTTCCTAGGGCAAAATATGTATAGAACAGGGTGTTTAAAGCATATTAAGGCCGACAAGTTGATATGGTCCTGCATACTCTTTACAGCAGCAGGCAATTTTCCATATCTGTGTGCTATCAAAAGCCCTCCACAAAATAACGAGAGCTGGAAGGCAAATAGCACAACGTTAAGTGCTTGCACACCTAAATCAGTCATCTCTCTGTTTCTAAGTTCAGCACGGTGGAACAAAAAGGACATTTTGTTATTACTGCTTTTAAAGTCATTACATAAAATATATTTTGTTAATTTGTGCTAAACTTTGAGCAGTCAGTTTATCTCAATGTTTTTTCCGTTCTTTGCCAGATAAGAGACTTGGATGCTTAGGGGCCGTTGTATAATCAATAGAAGCTGGTTAAAAGTTGGCTGCAGGACACGTGCCCTCCCTCGTTTGTTGCGTTGTTTTTCCCATAACTGACATTTTGGCTTTTATGGTACAACTTGGTGCGTCTTACTGCCAGAAAAATCGATACGAGATGTACTAAAAGAAAAACTCCTGCTTAACTATTGTAAAAAGATTCTAAATCTCCTATTCAGGTGGATGGAAGGAGGATTAATAGAGATGGAGTAAGACAACAAGGCTGTCAAGAACAGCCCTGCGGCTAAATGCTGCAAGTTAACTAAATTGAAAGAGCTGTGGTGCTGAATGGCTGTAGCTTGAAGGCATATGTCAAGTCACAACAAACCTGAACTGCAAAGGGCATTTGGTGTATTCTCCGTGTTTACGATTCTTTTAAAAGTTTCTTTTTCCTCTCTAATCTTTATGGAACATTTTGGGGAGCCACAAATCTCAATAGCAGCCTGTAACCACAGTATGGAAGGAGGGGCCAATCACGAGCGCAGAAGCCTGATTACAGCACATCATTTGGACAACAACTGCTGCTCTGAGGTTTGGCAAAAAACACTGAGCTTCTTGACACACTACAAGGAAAAGGAGGGAAGTTTTAAGCGCATGTGCACGTGCTGCTGGTTTACTAATTGCTTCCATGTGTACGCCACGATCCAAACACATACAACAACATTTAGAGATCTCTTTCGCTATAAAGTATTTGACTTGACAAGGCAAAGAAAGGCAGAAATTACCCCGCTCTAAAAGAAGGGAAGTTCACAATCTCAGCATCAACAACACTGCACACACACACACACACACACACACACACACACACACACACACGCAGACACATTATCTGCAGTGCCGTGTTTCTCATGCACTTTCTTTAACGTGCACTTCAATACACAGATAAGATGTACAGTTGTGCAGATCGTGCCTCATTTAGATCTGGGCCAACGTGGCGGGGCCGGTGGTGAAGCAGACATCTTGAGGCTGAGTGATGGGAATGTCAGGATTTGCATTTAAATTGGCGCCATTGTGCGTGCAGGGTAGGGTGTATTCATAGGATGTGAAAGGGTTCTTTGCAGCCAGATATGATGATGCTCTGAGCATGATTACAGAAGATCACTCTCCTCATGTTAATCGAGCTGGTAAATGTCCAGCCTATTTGTGTCGTGTACGACTGCGCGGGCGCGCTTGTTTTGTTTTATGACACAAAGAACAAAGAAGAAAAGATAAGCAGATACAGTAGATATGAGATGTGTGCATGGCTGCAGAGTTTGGTATTCATCGATTTGTTTGAACTCTGTCACATCCTCACTATGCTCCCATTGCTTCATCGTTTGTCAATTACTTGCATCGCATTTCAGTCACGGCCATGCATGAGCCTCATCTTCTGCAGGCCCATAAAAAGAGGCGACTATGAAGGATTACAGGCTTAGAAGATGTTTGGATTTCATATGTACAAATACCATCCTGGCATTTATGAGGTTTTCAGTGACTGTCCCTGTTGACAGTTTGCTCATTTTGAATTAATATTGTTTTATCGTGCATAGAAGTCATTGTGGAAATGGGAAGTGAAAGGAACGGAGCTGGAGTCTTTCCATCCAATCACTTTTTAATTACTCTGGTTTTCTGATAGCATTTTCTTTTACATAACTACTTGATTTACTTATTTTTTTAATAAAGTAACATTGTTTCATTGACAGAGTGGAAGTATAACTACCCTGCTTCCACAGATGGGAATAATACGGAATGCAGCAACTTCAAAAAAAAGTGGTAAAAAAGTGGACAAAGACAAATCAAAACTGGAAACTGACCAACTGTATTAAAAAGAAATGCTCATTTTGAATTTGAGGCCAGCAACACACGTCAAAGACACTGGAACAAGATAAAGTAAGTAATGCTAAACAGGAATCTCAGATATCTTGTAACTGGTTGTTTAGCAACAGGTCATCAGAATGATACAAAGAGCAATTACAAAGCAGGAGCAGAAATCACTTCTTGTGCTCAGGAAAACAATGATCAGCAAAGATAGTCCAGGGCAACCTCACAAATGCAAAATCCAGAAGCATCACCATCTGCTATGGGCCAAAGATCTTTTGCATGGAGCAGCAGTGCACGAGTGTCCTGTACAAATGCACTCATGCACTTAACAATATGAACCGATTTCATGGCAGGTCTGGCTTGTTTTAGCACTCTGGATGCTAAAATAGCATCCTGCAGTCCAAACCTGTCACCCTGTAAAAACACTAGAGACGCTGATGAGCAGGTGAAATCCTGCATCAGGCAAGAATAAGAAACAATTTGCTTTCAAAACTGCAACAACTGCTCTCCTTATTTTAAGCGTTATTGAGGTGATGCAACACAGCTGTAACTTTTTTCAAAAGGAGCACAGAAAAACTGAAAAACTACTCTTGCTCTGGTTGGATTTGAATGCCTCTTGACAAGATGGGACAAGGGAGAAAATGCCTGAGTTGGCTAGTGTCACTACAGACAAAAGAGGATAGAAATGACCCCCTCCATCCACCGTCCCACCCCACACTATGCAATTACGCGGTCACTAAATGTGTCTGCATGTATTTACATGTCTGTGTGGGGGGAGTGACCCCCAACGCTGACTGTCCAAGGAGAGATGAGCCATTAAAGACTGGTTTAAAAAAGCTTCAGTAGTCTGGCACGGTTCAAAAGCAGCTATTAATCAACCTGGCCCTGAGGACACCCACACCTGAAAGGTGCTCGTGGACACACGCAGTGTGTCACACACACATTAAGGATGTGCTAGGCATTCACATTCAGACAGTGTGGGGGATGGGGAGAGGAAGGAAGAGCAACATGTATCTGCAAAGCCTGAGCAGGAGTAAGAAAGAGATGCCAGATATATATATATCTATATCTATATCTATCTATCTATCTATCTATCTATCTATCTATCTATCTATCTATATATATATATATATAGAGAGAGAGAGAGAGAGAGAGAGAGAGAGAGAGAAGAGAGAGAGAGAGAGAGAGAGAGAGAGAGAGAGAGAGAGAGAGAGAGGGAGGAGAGAGAGAGAGAGAGAGAGAGAGAGAGAGAGAGAGAGAGAGAATGACACAAAATATCAGATAAAGCTCCATCAGGCTTGTCTAATTCTACACATCACACACTATACGGAAGCTACAATTAGCACCTGCTGCTTGGAGTTTTCATTCATGAACATAAACCGTAAAAAAATGATCCCTCCTTTCAATGGTTGGCTCACAGATACAAAGCAGAGATTCAAAGTTAAGTTCTTTTACAGGACATAAGGTATCTCATGTCTGATGTTCACTAAGATTACTGAAAAAATGTTCGACTGTGTTAACAGATGACAAAGGGAGAAGCTGAAGGTTGAAGAAGAGAAACAGCAAATGCAGATGTTGCCATGTAAAGAAATTCACGATGTGATCCATCTGTTAACATCCTGTCATGTTATGGTTCACCTTTCTGGCTCAATGACCGTATGCAAGTCTCTGCATTTTTGTATGTATGTGTACTTCATAGCTATGGTAATACAAGACTTTCAAATGAGGCACATCCAGAGAAGCCCAAAAAGACATCATCATTTCTGTCCATGAGCAAACACTCAGCGGACTCCACGGAGGTGACAAAATGAGTGCTTGACTCCAATGCATAAAGAGGTTTTATTACAAAACATCTTCATTTCTGAGCATAATTGAGGGCTTGCAACGTAATGATAAGCTGTTATTAAAGTCCTTAAATTCCCAGATTTATTACAGCACGCTGGGTTAGCCAGTGCTTTCTTGGAAGAATATTAATTGTGCTTCGAGTGCTCAGGAGAGACTGGGCACTCGGGAGTGAGCTCACTGTCACTGTTACTGTTACTGGAAGGGAAAAGGCTGTTTGGATGCTGTTGTTTTGACACGAGTGCAGGAAAAACTAAGCAAAGAAGAAAGAAAGATCGTCTTTCTTTGGACAGCAGTCATCCAAGAGCTGCTACAAATCTGTGTTTGTGTGTGTGTGCGCAAGTTTGTGTGGGCAATCACATGAGCAGCTGTCAGTGTGCATGTCTGAGGGGTGTATGTGGCTGTTAGGCCTGTGTTGTGACACATGTAAGGCAGGCTACAAATTGCCTGTCAAAGAAAGCGCCTCTCACAAAGCGGATGGGGGAGTGACTCATTTTGTGAAGATGTGGATTATTATTAAGTGTGTGTGTGTGTGTGTGTGTGTGTGTGTGTGTGTGTGTGTGTGTGTGTGTGTGTGTGTGAGACACAGACAGGTACTATGTGTGTAATTGTCAGAGCTAAGTCAAAAGTGTGTAAAGACAGATATTCTGATTAGCCATCTGTTCTTCGGAGCCTCATCCGCATCAGTGTACTCTGAAATGCACAAGTGGGTCTGTACATAAGTTTAATTAAGATGCTGGATGAAAGCAGACTTCTGCATCACTGTAAAACATGTGTTATCCTTCTTTTTTCATGCCTTTGGATGACGGATTGCTACTGAGAAATGAGACCTTCCACGACCCTTTTGGTTTCCTTCAGCAGCCTATGGAGGATTTCTATGTCATGTCCTGAACTCTATGAACAAGTGCCTTTCTCAGTGAGTAACACTAGCTAGAAAATTCAAGTTAACAAACTGTTCAACGAATGACTGGCTCCCAAGAACTTCACATAGAGAATAAGAAGGAAAACTTTCTGCTTCAGCTCTGCTAATTCCTCCGAACTTCTGGGCCTGGTCTGGCAATTTTCACATTAGTCTATTAATAATAGAGTAGCTCAGTTACCACTATATGGCTAACTTTATCCTGCTTGCTAATCTCATTGCTTATTAAATCATATGTGTAGAGTGACAAGTGATACTGATTTTGGCCAATAATAAGTAACTGTTGCTTTGTACTGAAACAGACTAATTTTCCGGTAGCCATACCTTTGTTATGCAGCATGTATCATTGGTCAACTTTAGTTTCAACATGCTGATATTGAGGCAGAAACACTGATCTTTCAGCTAGTGTACAAGATTCATAATGTCTCTATGGCAACTGACATACAGATGTTTACTTCAAATACAAAGTAACATTTATTTTTCTGTGTATTAGCTAAATTTACACAGGTAACTCAAATGTAACATTTGCACATTGTTATGCTTATTACACTTACAATTTAACGGTCACCAGAGGGGTTACATTTTAAGAATTGGCATTATTTCCTGTCTCGTGCACCTTTATCATTCTACACCATTAACTGAGGGTCAAAGATGGTCATAACAAATGCTAGAGAGAGGAAATTCCTATATTTCCACTTAAAAACCCCTATTGTTGATATTAATGTGAGGGTTAACGTGCCTGACCTGTAACAAAATGTTCAAAACCGTTCTCTTTCTTCTTTTTGTGTCGTTTTAAACACTGCTCACAATCATATGTAGCAGTAATTAAACTATTTAGGTTTATGATTTATATTTAGATCAACACTTTTCAATAAAAGAAAATATATTTGTCACCATCCGTGTAGAGTTGACGATGACATGAGCCGCATGGGGCCGTTGCCACTCCGTCTTTATTCTGAGTTACACCTTCCTATTGCATTTCTAATGGTGCCAATAATTTAATATGTTATCTTTCAAATTCTCAACTTCGGCTAACCTTCTGGACGTGGATGTCATTAATAACAATGATGTCCTGGAAGTTATGGAGAGCCTCTTTAAATACAACTAAAACCAAACACATCCAGACTCTTTCCTCTCTTGCTCTTTGCTGCACTTAAACCTCCACAGCCTGTCTTTAGACTTGGCTTCAGGCCCAAACATTTTAGCCCTTAGATTGGTGGAGGAAAGGTGTAGGAACTTGAAAATATCCATGTGCTACAGATCGCTGATTGAAAAGAAGTCTTTAAGACACACCAAGTCGACTTCAAACCCTCTCTTCGATTTACTTGAGAGTGGACATTTTTCTCAGGTTCTCCTTTGGGCGGCAACAAACTGATTGGAAACTATTAGGAGACAAGGGTCCATTTTGGGATCTTATTGTTAGAGGCTGACAAGCTTTTTTCTGCCCAGCGGAGCCAAGTTTTATGCCTCTCTCTACAAAGGATCCTGAAAAAAAGGAAAGGCTTTGAAAGATAGCTGACAAAAGCCCGCTGTCCTCTCCGACTCTCCCTCATCATGTCTCTCATTCCCACCTCTTTACCCCTGACAGAAAAACATGTTCACTATCTACTTGGAGGAAAACAGCAATCAAAACCAACTTATTCTTTGCTTCCTTTCTCAAACAAGGTGCTCACAGACAAGAGACATCTGTTTACTATGATGTAGTCTTTTTTTTATGGTGTAAATGAGACAAATACTCTCTCATTGCAGAGTTCACTTGTGTTAACACAAAGTATCTTAAGCATAAAATACTCCAAAACAGAATTCTAGTGCAAAAAAGTAAAATATATACACTGTATGAACTTGCACACCTTTACCAAATTATTATTCCCCATAAGCAGTAGTAGCAGTATAAATGGCTGTATATTACGATCTCACTATGTCAAATATTAGCCAAGGACTCTTTTGTAAAAGCAACCCTCACCTGACTCGGGGGCCATCACGCAGCGGTTCCCGGTGGGTGCGCCCACGGTTGGCCCCTGGCAGGGTGCGTCGGTTGGCAGTGGAGTAATCAGGCTCCAGCTCATATGGCTCTTCTTCTTCGGGGCCCAAGCTGCGGCGATCATCCTCCAGACCATACGGCTCAGGCTGGAAGCGTTCTGGTTGTGAGCGGTTCAGATCCACAGTGCTGCTGCCCATAGGCACCTGGGGCTGCGCCACATGGCCATAATCATCCTTTCTGATAGGCAGGGTGTAGCTATTCTCCGGCCGGTAGCTATTAGGCATGTATGGGTACCGCGGCGGCCGGTAGTTGACACCACGAGAAAGACTGCCGTAGTTATCCGTCAAATCGGTGTAGCCATCGTGAAGACCATAATGGCGAATGTACTGGCTCTCCGGTGTCTCTCCGTATGAATCGTTGTAGGAGTTGTTGTAGGAGCGCGTCAGGGTTGAGGTTGCTTGAGGCGTTATGAAGCGGTCACTTCCATTCTTCAGGTATCGCCGGTCAATGGAATCGGTGTAGCTGCCCAGCGGGGACGTGCCTTCAGGCAGCGGCAAGCCATCGGGGCCGAGGGGCACCTGACGCACTGTCCGAGTGGTCACCGTCTTCACCATCTTAGTCACCTGCATGGGGAAACAGATACACACTGTCAGACAGCGTAGAACAATGTTACACCAAACCTATGCTTAGGTTTAAATACAGTGGTCAGCTTTAAGCTGACAACACACATAATAAATGTGAGCACTTGGAAATGTTAAGGTTTAACTCAATCTTTAAACCCTCATGCCAACGAGGCATAGTACTAACTGACCGATATTCAATTTTCAGCCTGTGTAACACGTTGATTGTTAGAAAAAAAGCAGGCAGTACATCCGATCTGCTTTAAGACAAACGCTCCAAATTTAAACCCCAGATGCTGTGTGTACACAGGAAGTGCAAATTCAGGCTGAATAGTGCTGCAACTGAGCCTGATGGAAGTTGTATAGCTCCACTGGACCTTGAGTCCCGAATGGCTCCAGATGAGCAATGTAGCATCACAGTCCATAGCTGAGGGACTGTTAAAGCCAGACCTGCGTGCACGCATTTCTCAAATTCGCATCATCCTTGAGCTAAATAACTCTGCTTCCTCTGCTGTCTGTGTTGTTTTCTGGCTGGAGAATGACAGACAGCGACTCCCTCCTTGGGCTCTCTGCCCATACAGAAAGCAATTTGCTGCCCACTGAATTCTGCTGTGGCTGATAATTGGCTATTTTGTCCATGGCTATAAATTCATCTTTAAAATTAATGAAGCTGATGAAAATTAACCGTCATCTGCAAGGGGCGCAGGTCTGATGTAGTTCACGTCGTGCCTGACAAGGTGTTGCAGAGAGTTTTGTTCCCTTAAAAACTTAAAATCTAAGGAAAAAGACAAAAAAAGACCCTGCTCATTCCTGATTCCGATGGGCTTCATTTTCAGTACCGGCCCTGTTAATCTGAAAACGCCGTCTTTATTTTCCCATCAATGCCATGATTCTGATTTTAATCAGGAGCAGAGGCACGTAATAATATCATGGAACCACAATGAAGCATTAAACCGCACCACAAAGGACGGCGCCAGGAGCAAACGCATAAACCACATATCAGTTGTTAAACACGGCATCCTCATTAACTTGCTTGAAACAAATAGAAATTTTCACTGGCCTTGTTTCTTGGTTACACTCTCACTGTGAGCTACATAAGACAGCCTATTTCAGGAACGTCAAGGTTCATTTCCATGTTTTAAGCACAGTAATTACTGAATAGTTTGCATTTGTTTCTAACTGCACAAAGCTGAGGTGGAGTGGCATAGTAAAAAAAAAAACCCAAAGAGCTCATTTGCTTGAGTTACATCAGCTAAAGGATGTGCATGACCTTAGAATCACAATAATGAGCGTGCTTTCATCTTGTTCACTGTGGCAGGTCATAGCAGGACCTCAAGTCTAGACTGCTCTGGTGCTACTTGCTGGGCTTCGGTGACCCAACAAGAGCTAGAGGCTGAATGTCATACCGTGCATGAGGTGGCTACATGTGCACAATAAATAAATAAACATTTCTAGTATTTTTTAATCACATTTGGTTAATATTTGGTGCCATTTTATTCTGACAGAAACTGAGACGAGGGTATGTTGAATGCTACAGCTTCCCAGCCTCGACACGCCCGGCTGCCTTGTACTAACACAGCTTTTTAGACGATTTGCAAGGGCTGCAAAGGGAGCTATCGGATAGGTTTCAAACGCTCTTTGATGTGCGCTCAAGTTCACAAGGCGTTAAACCGTCACGCACGGGTAGACGAGGGACCAGGGTTTCAGAAGAGCCTCTGAAATATGCTCAAGTGGTGTAAACAGGCTCAAAAGAGAATTGCTAAATTGGTTGCAAATATATATGAATATGTAGCAATACTCAAGATTTCTGTGTTTGTACATGCTTGGAAAGTCACAGCAGTACTGAAAAATGTTTAACAAAAAAACAAAGCAAACAAAAAACCCACAGGCAGTTAAGACACAGTCCTAGACTGTTTACCAAACTGTTAAAACAGAGGGGAAAGTAGCAGGCGTCAAACTGTCCACTTTACAGCACTGCAAGACATTTCACAACCTCTGTGGCATTCACTTTATCGGGCGCTTAAATTGACAAGGTGGCCATGGGTTAGTGAGGCAGAACTGAGGGAGTGATCAGATTTTTGAGCAGCTTGTGATTGCAAAACCTTAGATTAGTTTTCATCTTCTCTTAAAGAGAATGAGGAAAATTAAAACTGTTATTATATCTTGGGAAAATTCAGGCAGGCGGGGGGAGGCAAGAAACAACACAAATCACACAGGCTCGGCGTCCTTTACTGGGTCTGTCTCAGATAGCTCAGATAGGGTGGGGGTCGAGTTGGTGACCGGGGTGGGGGTGCGTGTGGCAGGCCTGGACTCCACTAACAAGTTGTCAGGTACCAACAATGGATGGTAGGTGCGACGGGTGATGGTTTTCACCACTTTGGTGACCTGAAGTTGAAGGGATTCGTGGGAAAATTTGTTTCATTACACACTGATCCATACAGTTCTGATTCACATAGTCTGAGTGTAACAAGCAACGGTGTGCAAAAGAGAAACAGCTTAGGAATAACAAAATGATCTAATAAACAGATACACTGCTATTTTAATGAGCTGGAATCACCACTAAACCACAGATGTGTAAGAGAAGTCTCCTCCAGTGCCAGTGGGACCTTAGAGGAGGGGTCAAATATTTGTGAAGGAGTAAAGCTCTTCCCATAATTCAGATATTTAGCTACTATGTGTTTTCCGTCATGAGACTGTGATATTCTTTCTTTTAACTGTTTGAAACCCAAAATGGCCACAGCTGGCCGGTCAGAGTGTTTCTATTTTTTGGATCAAAAATTTTTTTGTACACACTATATGTTAATAACATCAACACCTAGCAATAAATCCGTCAGATGACTGTTCATGTTATAATGTCGGGTGTGGAGCATCCACAGCTATTCAGTCTGGAGGAGGCTGTAAAGCTTTGTGAAAGGAGGCTGATACAGGTCGATGAGCCAATGAAGCTCACTTCTGATGGATGACAGCGACACCAACATTTTTAAGGATTTCAACTTTTCTGTTGGCCTGAGTGACTGAAGCTTTCTTTGAGGTGGAGCTAACATTGCTGGAGTCAAACATTAGCATAATGTTAGCTTATAACCAGCTGTTCTTGTTGTTGTTTAGCTGGCTCTTGGTAACTGTCGAAGATGGGAGGGTAGCAATTCTGATCTGCTGACAGTAACTGGGACAAAATTGAGAATGAAAAGGCGTGTTTATGCCTATTTTAGTGTGTTAGAGCTCTGATTTCAGTTTAGTGCATGAGGCTTGAGATGAGCAGGAAAAGGACGAGGTAGAAATGTGGAAGGGGAAAGGAGTGGTGGAGGTGCCAGATCAGGAATCAGATCAGGAATCTGGAAGATTCTAATAGGATACTATATCGGTAAAGACCCTACAATAATACACAGAAAACAGATATATGTATATATATATTAAAAAAACCTCATCTTAAGTGCGTCATGGTTCCATATATGGCACTTATAGCAGAATTCAAACATAATGTGTTAAGCATAGGTTACCTTTTCGTGACACTGAAACTTCAGGTTAAACGTACCTCTCTAACTTATTAAAAGCAGTTTTTAAAAAAGAAGTCCAGATGTAGAAGCCTATGGGGGGGGG